TGTTGATATTGCAAGTTATCTCTGCTGCTTTATGACCCATTTTGAACGGAATAAGCAAATCACTTGAATTTGCTTTTTGTGTAACATCATTTCCCTAGTCTAAAATATATATAAAACACATTTAATTTATATTATGTGCAATATAAATATAAAGCAAGTAATAAGTAATTAGCAGAAAAACTTAAAATAAGAAATGCACATTAAAATGATGCATAACATAACCACATTTACTTAAGAATGTATTCTAATATAAAACAGCAAAATTCAACAATATAATACCACAATTACTTTTGCACCAACCTAATATAATAGCCAGGACATGAAGGCAACCTAAATGTCCATTGACAGATGAATGGATAGATAAGTTGTGGTACATATATATGCAATGGAATATTGCTCAGCCATAAAAAGGGATGAATTTGAGTTAGTTGAACTGAGGTGGATAAACCTGAAGCCTGTTATACAGAGTGAAGTAAGTCAGAAAGAGAAAGACAAATATCACATATTAAGGCATATATATGGAATCTAGGAAAATGATACTGATGAAACTATTTGCAGAGCAGGAATAAAGACACAGATGCAAAGAATGGACTTGTGGGCAGAGCAAGGGAAGGAGAGGATGGGACAGACTGAGACAGTAGCACTGAAATATATACATTACCGTATGTAAAATACATAGCTAGTGGGACATTGCAGCGTAACACAGGGAGCTCAGCCTGGTGCTCTGTGATGACTTAGAGGTGTGGGATTCCCCCGACTGTGGAAGGGCTCATTTTAAAGCAGTTGTCTTAGTGCTCGGACCTGGTGCACTGGAAAGACCCAGAGGGACTGGGTGGAGAGGGAGGTGGGGGAGGGGGGATCGGGATGGGGAATACATGTATATCCATGGCTGATTCATGTCAATGTATGGCAAAAACCACTACAATATTGTAAAGTAATTAGCCTCCAACTAATAAAAAAAAATTAAAATTAAAGCAGTTGTCTTTATTATCATATTATTTCACCAAGGGAGAGATGTTACTGCTGGGAATGCTTACCTTGTTACAGCACTTTTCAGAGCTAATTGGGTGGGAGGATCTGTTTCATTTAGAGTTCTCCAGAGCCTGTGATAGACGTTATAATAAATCCTTTTGATAATACTGAATGCATTGGGAGAAAATGCCATCTGCCCCTATTTCAGAGTAGTATGGGATACACAATACATCTGCATCAGTAAGTATATATCTGTGAGAGATCTGCAGATTGGGGGGGGGGGCATCTAGGATGAAAAGAAAGATATGTAGGATAAAAACACATTGCTTTGTTAGAATGAGGATAAGGGCTTTTTATTTCCTTTCAACAAACACCCTTTGTTGATTCCAGAAGTACGTTTTGAGGTAACGAAGTATGCTAGCCTTTGGTAGGAGAGAGAAAAGGGATGCAAACCTAACTAAAACATAACACTGGGCCTTCCTTGGCAGTCAAGTGGTTAAGAGTTTGCCTTCCAATTCAGGGGTTGCTGGTTTGATCCCTGGTTGGGGAACTAAGATCCCATGTGCCTCTTGGCTGAAAAACCAGAACATAAAACAGAAGCAGTGTTGTAACAAATTTAATAAAGACTTTAAAAATGGTCCATATTAAAAAAAAAAAAACTTAAAAAAGAATACAGTACTTACAATCAAGATATCTACAATTCTCTAGAGAATATGAAGGGGAAAAAACCCCATATTTAAATAGCCACAATAAGCTAAGATTGTGATAAGTGCAAAAGAGAAGCATATTAAAATACTGGGAAAAAAATAAATTACTGGGAAGGTTCTGGAGGTGGGGTATGAGAAACCACATCTGTTTGTGGGAGAATCAGGAAGATGAACTGAGAAGGGTGAACTTTGACACAGACAGTTGAAGTTGAAAAAATTTTGATAGATGCACATGATGCGGTATTAATAAAGTCACAGAAGCCAGAAAATACAGAGCATATTTGAGAAATAGCAAATAATTTTCAACTGGAGTATAAAAAGATGTAAACATGAAATAACAATCTCAAAAATCATTACGTAGATGTAAATCATAGATAATCTTGAAAGGTGAATTAAGCATCTTTTGTAATTCTATAGTCAATGGGAACTGTTATAGTCTTTTGATAAAGGACTGACATAATCCAGATAGCACACAGATCTGTTTGGTTAGTCATGATAGAGTTGAATTGGTAAAATGAGGCCAGGAACTTATTTTGATACTCCAAATAGAAAATAAAGTGATTTGCGGTATGGTGAATGAGAATAAAAAAGAAGGAATGGATTCAAGTAACATGGGAGGTAGAGCAGGAATGGCACTTGCTGAAGTTTAGAACCAGAAAGATTGAGGGAAAGAAGAGTTCAAGAGGGTCTGTGTAGGTTTATCAGGAGCAAAGTGAAGAGGCCAAACAGTATTGAGGAGGAACACTAGCCATTAAAGAGCAACTTGAAAGGCTGGTGAATGGAAGCCAATAAGCATAGCATCTCCAGGAGGAAGCACTGGCCACCATTTTATACGGTTGACCTCACTAACTCAAACATTAGTGCCATCATGGTTAAGAGCGTTGAGCTAGACTGCTGGGATCAAATCCTAGATAGGTGAAGGTACCTGCCTTATAGGCTGTTGTGAGGATTAAATAAGTGCAGGTAAGGCATTTGGAAGAATATCTGAAAATGTTCTTTACACACCAGCCAAGGTAAGACAATTCTTTTACCAAAAAAATGGAATTAGAAAGGAAAGAAAAATAATGTTGTAGTTTAAGGAGAAACTAAATTGATTTTTCAAAAAAGCTTTTAGCAACTTCAGGTGATTTTCTGAAAGTATTATATTTGTTTTGTGAATTCTGTGATCTTCTTTACTGTAGTATTTGGGAGGAAATAAAGGTAGATAGCCTCTGAGATTTTTTTTTCTATCTGGAAGAACTTAGTAAACTCTCAGTAAGTTGCAGTAATTCATTTGCTTTCAGACTTTAACAGATTTTTAGTGGGTAATATTTTGTATTTACCATAAAATATGACTAAGAAAACTTTAATACAGTTTTGGGTGGTTATGCTTTTATTACTGATTTGCTTCTTGCAAATTTGCAACCAAAAATGGTTAACAGCTGTGGGATGAAAAGCACAGACATTAACTACAGGAAATTAATTTTAGTGATTTCAGGAATCATTTCCAGTAGTTAGAATATTCTGCTGTCTTTCCTTTTTAAAAAGAAAAGCTTCTTTCTTTTAAGCTTCTCTATTCAGATCATAGGGCTTCCCAGGTGGCTAAGTGGTAGAGTCCTCCTTCCAATGCAGAAGCCACAGGAGACATGGGTTTGATCCCTAGGTTGGGAAGATTCCCCTGGAGGAGGAAATGACAACCCGATCCAATATTCTTGCCAGAATAATAGCATGGACAGAGGAGCCTGGTGGACTACAGTCTATGGGGTTCCAAAGAATCAGACATGACTGAGTGACTGAACAAACATGTTCAGATCATAGACTCTTTGTTAAGATGATTCTAGCCTTAGCACTAACCTTATAAATTTAATTATTAATTCCAAAAACTGGATTATTACAATTTCAGTGAATTTCTACTTATGTTCTCATAAGTGGCATGATGTCACATCTTATTTTTATGATATATTGTAGAAAATGAATTTTATTTGTTAAAACTATTAGCACTTTAGAACATTTTAATTTTAAGATGACTGTCATTGTTATATATCCTTTTTTAAAGATTTATTTATTTTTTAGCTCTGTTGGGTCTTCGTTGCATGCAGGCTTTCTCTAGTTGCAGTGAACACAGCCTACTCTTTGTTGCGTTGTGCGGGTTTCTCGTTGCTGTGGACTCTAGAGCATTGGCCAAGTAATTGTGGCGCATGGACTTAGTTGCTCCGCAGCATGTGGGATCTTCCCCGACCAGGGATTGAACCGGTGTCCTCTGCATTGCAAAGCGAATTCTTAACCATTGGATCACCAGGGAAGCCCTGTTATGATTTTTTTTTGCTTTTAGACTTCATAATCTTTAATTTTTCTTGTCAGTAAATTATTGTCCAGTATAATAGGTAAGCATATTTCAGGAATCTTTATGGTTTACAGAGCATTTTTCATAAACTTTTTTCATTCAGTTCTTACAGCAACCTATCAGATCAATAGTGTCATCCCTACCCTTTTTAGATGAGAAGATAGGTTCAAAGAGATGGTGATTAGCTCAAGGCTATAAATGGAACTGGATTTCTGGGTATATATTTTCAACTCAGACCTCTGCATCCCTGGGCTCTTTCTGTTATATCACTACTGGTGGTATTATTTTAATCACACTTTGATCTTGCCCTTACAGTTTTCAGTTCAGTTCAGTCACTCAGTCGTGTCTGACTCTTTGCGACCCCATGGACTGTAGCATGCCAGGCTCCCCTGTCCATCACCAACTCTCAGAGCCTGCTCAAACTCATGTTCATCGAGTTGGTGATGCCATCCAACCATCTGATCCTCTGTCATCCCCTTCTCCTCCTGCCTTCAATCTTTCCCAGCATCAGGGTCTTTTCCAATGAGTCAGGTCTTTGCATCAGGTGGCCAAAGTATTGGAGTTTCAGCTTCAGCATCAGTCCTTCCAATGAATATTTAGGACTGATTTCCTTTAGGATTGACTGTTTTACCAAACAAAAATAACTATTTTATTTCAGGTTTGCAAACTTGTGCCAGAATTTAGAAATTAAGTACATTTTCTATAAAGCAGTGGTCTTCAACCAGCTACAGTTTGGCTCCACCCTTTCCCCCTGGCACATTGGCATGTTTTGGAAAAATAGTTGATTGTCACACTGTGGTGCAAGTGCTACTGGCATCTAGTAAGTACAGATCAAGGAGATGCCAGACATTCTGGAAAGGACAGGATAGCACCCCTTCCCTGTCCCCCCACCCCACCCTCCTGCTGCCCAGAATGATCTAGCCTACAGTGTCAGCCGTTGGGAAGCCTCATTGTGAAGAACAGATCTGTTTACTCTTTCTTGACCTGGATATCCCAACCCTCCACCCCTTTTTATGTGTCTGCAATATACGGCTCTCCCCAAAATTATTTGAAGTCTAGTTTTTGAGGTGGTTTACTATAAAGGTGATTAGCTCCCATAGCACAGGTATGATTTGGGTTGTTTCAATACTATTATTAAGAATAAGCATTAACACTGTACTAAAAGTGTTACATACAAGAGTTTTATGAAAAATAGTTTATGTTTCTGGGTGGGGGGAAGAAAAACCAAAGCACAAATATTTTATTTCAAGCCAATATTTTAATGTTTTCCTTATTTTTTTAGTTTTATTTTTGTTGAACACCAAAAAATACATATGTAAGTACTGTTAATTTTTATACAGAGCTAGTTTCTATTTAATGCTCTGGCTATTCAGTTACACAAGATGTTTTCTTCAGAGTTATCCAGTCTGTGCATATTTAAGGAGACTGTTTGGTGTAGAGTTGATAGTATCCAGTCTCTTCCAACCAAGGTCTTACAAAGGGACAGCTTGAAAATATTCGTTAGCATTGAAGAGACAGTGTTATATAACCTAACAATTGACACACTGTTAAAAGCTTATAATAACTGTAATAATAAAAAAAAGTGAGATTTTATATAAACACTCACTATGCATTTCTATAGAGAGTTTATAATCAGGTAATAATTAAAAAGTTTGTGCTACAGCTTGAAAAACATCTGTATGAATGCCATCTGTTTGACTTGGTAATAAACACTTACTGAAGACTATTATAAAGAAGTTTTAAACATAAAGACAGTAAGTCTTGAAGATGTGAGAATTTGAATAAGATTATATCAAATCATACTTCAACATTATTAGAAATATTACAGTAATACCCAAGTTTTTAAAGACAGAATAAGAATAGTATAATGTATTCTTTATTAACCGTACTTGTTGATTTTCTTTTTCTAATAGCAAATGAAAGAAAATAGCAAATGAAAGAACACAAATTTTGCTAAGTCAAGCATTCCATTTACAGTACAGTTCTTTTTTAAATGCACTTGATAACAAAGTGTTAAATACTGAATGTCTTTTATTTTAAATACTGAATGTCTTATTTTTGTTACTGAGAAAGAACGTTCAAGCGTGAAATTTATGCAAAATCATTTACATGTAAAAGGAAACTGCAATAAATGCCTATTTCCTTTAATCCTGATGTATCAATAGTTTTTGCAAAATTCTGTTGAAATTTATTGTCGTACAATAAGTCAGTGGACTTAACCACATGGGAATAGATTTTTGCATTGGTGCACAGTACCACCATTATTAATAGAGTTCAAGTATTCCAAATGTAACAATTTTTGAATTTTATATTAGATGTATACCACTAATTACTAATTATCACTTTCTGAAGTTCCCAAGCTGAACACTCATTCTGCTCAAAACACAACGAAATGTTGCCGGTTGTACCTCCCAATACTTGACCGGGTTGTTGGATAAACTTATTGCACTGTATAAAGATTTCTTCATCTTTGGCACTGTTGGGCAGAAATCATTCACTCCCACTTTTGTAATTGAATTAGAATGAAGAAAGATTATCTGTTGTAATGGGGGAAAGAATGGATTAAAAATTCATGGTAAATGTTAAAAAGAAGATATTCTGTTTGTAGTCAGCATTTGTTCATGGCTTTGTCTCTGTTTTGAACTAATCTGGACATATTTTGCTTAAAATATATGTGCTCATTTATGCCTGTTAAATATTTATTATAAAGACTCAAGCTCCTGTATTATACAGAAATTGCTGTATGTGTGAAGTGCGATGTAGTACTCATGCCGAAGCCCAGGTCAGCCTGGTCAGCACATGCAACTCTCCTGTCCCTGCCTCTCTCTTTCTCTCTCTACATACACACACTCACACACACACATAGATGAAAGCTTTCTGTCGTACAGTAAGTCAGTAGACTTACCACAAAGGAATAGATTTTTGCTTTTATGCATAGTAATACCCAACTTTTATATATGGATGTGTGTGTGTAGGGTTATTTCAGTACCATATGCAATAATATGTTTTTAAAGTATCAGAAATGAGTGGAAGAATGAAATTTAATGCTCTAAGAATTAGATTTACAATTTGAATGTGAAGAATTTTTAGCTAGCATTTTCTGTGTTCAAAGGAGAAAAGTATAGCTAGAGCTACTTTTTTGTTTTATAGAAAAATATGTCTATCGATATCTTAAATACATATCTGTAATATAGCATCAATAGTTGAATCTTTATTTGTACCAGTGGACAAAATACAATATTATAGGCTATGTATATGTCTTGTTAAATTATTACTCAAGAGAAAAATTGGAAAATATAAGACCTTCCCTTCATTCCCTTTAGTAGCCCTATAAATTCCTTCTTTGGACTCTTTTGGCAACTGAGATATCTAAGAAGTAAAAGCAATCTACTTAACTAACAATGTTTTGGCATATTATAAAGAAGGAGCCTTTTGCTGGCAGACTAGGATACCAGTTCTAGTTTTTGTTACCTCTGCATTTTGCTTTGGTGAGATTGATCTGAGCCAGTCCTGAGAACTGTAGGCATTGCTAAAACCTCTACATTTTGTGTTGGAGTCGCTGCTGCCCTCTATTAATCGTGGGGACTTTGTGGCAGATGCTTTATATGGTTTCCTAGCAGCTCAGCAGCAGTGCAAGGTGTAGTTTACCACAGCATTCACCTCATTCGGAATGGAAAACAGTGCTGGACATGGCTGTGTTTGCTTTGTGGACGTTCGTTGAATGTATCCTTATGACTATATTTGTGTTATAATTCTGTTTAATTTTTTTTAATGCTAGCAATTGTATGGATAGACTTAAGATGCTCAGAATCTAGGATCAGTGTTGTGGAGTAAAGTAGTCAAAGACTGGACAGCTTAAGGGAGGAAAGACCCCACTTGTGCCCACTATTTTTTAAAAAAAAGAGAGATTATACACAACATTTGAAAAAAAAAAATCAAAGCAGAAGTCATAATCTTAATTGGCAAATTAACACCTGCCAATGTCACATGCATTTTGATGGGTTCTAGGCCAAAGGGTTCTTTTTGTGTAGCGAACAAAGTTTATTTAAAGAAAAATTAGAAAGGAATGTAGAAGCAAGTGGCTCAAGACCCAGTTTTGTTCTCAGTGTGTTTTCCTTGGACGATGAGGATCTTGTACAATATATCAAGGAAAGCACATGAGAAAAATGGACTAAAGGTGATGTGAGATTAAGTAGGGATGCTTAATTTGAGGTCCATGGATGGAAATCAGGAAGATCTGTAACATTCCTAAAATTATGTGAAAAGATTTTCTTCATATTTTTTCTTAGGAGTATCTAAAGCTTTATCAGATTCTCCAACAATTCTGTGGCCCCTTCCGGCTAGTCAAGAGTTGCCAGATTAGACGGGAAAGTTTTTCTAATAATGAACAAGAAATGTGAGCCCTTAATGCTCCAAACACTGAATTTTGATTATATATTCTGGCCTGAGTTTTTTTGAAAAGCATACACACTTCTAATCTGGCACCACATTGATAATGAAAACACCTGGGACTTTATCCACATGCTCTTCCTTCATAAAATGTTTACAGAATGAAAGGTTATATAATCCTGCTTGATTTCCTCCTGACCAGTCCTGCCTTTATATAGTTATTGCCACCCCAGAAACCTGAAATTAGCTGTCAGCACCTTCACTGCAATGACCTTGAAGAAGAAGAAACCAAGAGTTACAAATGGGTTCCTGAGTGTTTTAGCTGATACCTTAATAGAAACTGGCCTTCTGACACTCTTGCTGCATAAAACATGTTGGATAATCTGGAGGGTCATTAGGGTATTAGGAGGATCATTAGGCTGTGAAGCTACTTGCTTCTTTGCTTCAGATACATAAAAACAAAGGAAAGTATTAATATCTGCAAAACACAAGTAGAATGTTTTACCTGGAGGTATTTCAACTCTTGTAATCCCGAAGGCACTTTTTTTAGTTTGTTGTTTTCTAGGTGTATTTCTCTCACACGTGGTATGTTAGCAAGACTTCCATTTTCAATATCTGTGATCCTGTTGTTTCCTAGACCGAGCCTAAAAATGATAATAAAATGCATCAACCCTTGAGCAGATGATATGATTCAGTTAGTTGAAAACACAACTAAGTTAGAAATATTTGTATGTTCAGAAAAAGGTATTCCATGCTTTCTTTTAATAACCTATTTCAGGATGTAATAGCCCTCTCCTCTACTGCTTCCCTGGTGGCGCAGATGGTAAAACGTCTGCTTGCAATGCAGAGACCAGAGTTTGATCCCTGGGTCGGGAAGATCCTCTGGAGAAGGAAATGGCAACCCACTCCAGTATTCTTGCCTAGAGGATCCTGTGGACAGAAGAGCCTAGTGGGCTGCTGTCCATGGAGTCTCACAGAGTCAGACACGACTGAAGCGACTTAGCATGCATGCATGCACTGGAGAAGGAAATGACAACCCACTCCAGTACCCTTGCCTGGAAAATCCCATGGACAGAGAAGCCTGGTAGGCTACATTCCATGGGTTTGCAAAGAGTCAGACACGACTGAGTGACTTCACTTTCACTTTCTTTCTACGTCAGAAGATTTTCTAACCTATGTGCAACAAAAGGAACATTTGGAAAGTGTCCTTTTACTCATTCCCTTTTTCATTTCTGAGACAGAATGATAGCAATCCATTCTAGTTTCCCCTTAATTTTGATTGTGTCCCTCTACACATTCTCTAAGAAGTTTCATTAATATTGTCATCATATGGACTACCACCTACAAGTTGGATAGGATTTGAGAAATGTTTACCTTTGCAGATCCTTGTATCGTTTAAAATCCTCAAGTTCCACAACTGAAATTTTATTATAATCTAAATGTAACTCCAGTAAAGTTGAAGGTAGTTCTAATGATAAGAAAAGAAATATGTATGTTAGATCAGGCTAAGACCAAGCCCTGTTGATTATTTATTTACTTGTTAAGTTTCACATTATAGACTTAGGCAGTTTTGGGGGCTTTGCTTTTTATTATTATTATTATTATGGAAAATTTCAAACAAAAATAGAAACTAGAATTATGAGATACCTTGCTGGTTGCTTGGCTTCAACAATTATCTCCATTTTTCCAATTTTGTTTCATCTACGTTAGTAGTTATTTGTTATCGATTTGTTTTTATTAATTTATTTTTTTACTAGAGTATTTAAAATCAAATTTCATATATAATGTCATTTCACTTGTAAACACTAGACATCTCTAACCCCACAAGGTCATCTTTTTTTCCCCTTACATAATCATCATGTCTGTATCACGTCTAACAAAATTAGCAATAATTCTTTACTATCATCTAATAATCATTTCCCTAATAACCTCAAGTGTATTATTTTACAGTTGATTTGTTCAGGTCAGAATCCAAATAAAGTGTACAAAATATATTTGAGTCTTGTATCTCTTTAAATTTCTTCTGTTACATACTACCTCCTCTTTCTCCTTCTATTGATTTGTTTCAGATATTAAATTGTTTGAGATAGTCATTTGTAGATTGGGCTAATGGCCTCCATCTAGGCCCTTTACTTCTTATTACCTAGTAGAAGAGCTGACTCTTTTGAAAAGACCCTGATGTTGGGAAAGATTGAGGGCAGGAGAAGGAATGACAGAGGATGAGATGGTTGGATGGCATCACCAACTCAATGGACATGGATTTGGGTGGACTCTGGGAGTTGGTGGACAGGGAGGCCTGGCGTGCTGTGGTTCATGGGGTCGCAAAGAGTCAGTCACAACTGAGCAACTGAACTGAACTGAGTAGTTAGATCTAGAGACCAGATTAGATTCAGTAAATTATTCTTTCATCTGATAGTCTTCACACTCATTCATTGATTACTGCTACTTAGATTTATTATTTCATTAACAATTGGAAAATGGTGATTTTCTGATTTAATCATTCATTACGCATTTATTAGGTGAGATTCTTCTCTGAAGAATTTTCCTTCATTTATTATTTAGCTACTTTATAATACAGTTTTTATAGAAAAAGCAGCATAAATGTTTGATTTCATTAAAGTAATGAATTGGTACAATACCCAGAGGTGACTGATGAATTTTTTTTCTAATTTTTGGCCACATCCTTCAGCTAGTAATTGGGGACCTTAGTTCCCCAACCAGGGATCAAACCTATGCATCCTACATTGATTGAATGGTGGAGTCTTAACCACTGGACTGCTGGGGAAGTCCAGATGAAATTTTTTTTTTATATCATTATTTTCCTGGGCTCCAAAATCATAGCCGTCAGTTACTGCAGCCACAGAATTAAAAGATGCTTACTTCTTAGAAGAAAAGCTATGACAGACCTAAATAGCATGTTAAAAAGCAGAGACGTCACTTTGCCAACAAAGGTCTGTATAGTCAAAGCTATGGTTTTTCCAGTAGTCATGTACAGATGTGAGTTGGACCATAAAGAAGGCTGAGCGCCAAAGGATTGATGCTATCGAATTGTGGTACTGGAGAACCTCTTGAGAGTGTCTTGGACAGCAAGGAGATTAAACCAGTCAGTCTTAAAGGAAATCAACCTTGAATATTCATTGAAGCTGAAGCTCTAATACTTGGCCACCTGATTTGAAGAGAGGATTTCTTGGAAAAGACCCTGATGCTGGGAAAGACTGAGGGCAGGAGGAAAAGGAGACAACAGAGGATAAGATGGTTGGATGGCCTCACCAACTCAATGGACATGAGTTTGAGCAAACTCTGGGTGATAGTGAAGGCAAAGAAAGCCTGGTGTACTGCAGTCCATGGGGTTGCAAAGAGTCAGACAAGACTTAGAGACTGAACAGCATAAACACAAGAATTTTTTTCCTCTGTTTGATATGTTTGATTCACTGCAGTTCTGACCCCAGCTCTCTCCATATTAACTGAAGCTGGAATGAAAGAGACTAACCAGAGCATTCAGTCAGACCTCATCATTTCATTAATCCTACACATAATGTATTATTTTTCAATCAAAATTTCTTGTTGCCTAGCTAGGAAATGCATTCTTTTTTTCAATTCTTGCTAAAACATTTCCTTACTTTATTAGTATTAAGACTGTTAAAGATAATTGACACATCCTTATGAATAGCAATATTTATCATTTATATTGATTTTATAATGTACTTTTATTTTTAAAAACAAATAAATTAGCAGAAAATAATTCTAAACTGAGAGCATTCTAATTTCTTCAATTCTGATCAGTTGAGCTTACTCATATTTAAGGAATTGACTGTATTCACATTTAAAAACATAAAACTGCTTTATGTTTTTTTGCTAATGACATTAGTTGTTTATTTTATATTTATTTTATAGTATGGAAATAATGTTAGACAAAAAGCAAATTCAAGCGATTTTCTTATTTGAGTTCAAAATTGGTTGTAAAGCAGCATAGACAACTCGCAACATCAACAACTCATTTGGCCAAGGAACTGCTAGCAAAGGTGAAGTGCAGTGGTGGTTCAAGAAGTTTTGCAAAGAAGACAAGAGCCTTGAAAATGAAAAGTGTAGTGGCTGGCCATCAGAAGTTGACAGTGACCAATTGAGAGCAATCCTCGAAGCTGATCCTCTTACAACTAGAAGAGAAGTTACCAAAGAATTCAACATTGACCATTCTGGGATCATGCGGCATTCAAAGCGAATAGAAAATGTGAAAAAGCTTAGTAAGCGGCTGCCTCATGAACTGACCGAAAACCAAAAAAATCATTGTTTTGAAGTGTTGTCTTCTCTTATTCTGTGCAAAAACGACGAGTCGTTTCTCAATTAGATTGTGACATGTGATGAAAAGTGGATTTTATATGACAACCAGCTCAGTGGTTGGACTGAGAAGAAGCTCCAAAGCTCTTCTCAAATCCAAACTTGCACCAGAAAAATGTCATGGTCACTATTTGTGGTCTGCTGCCGGTCTAATCCACTATAGTTTTCTGAATCCCAGCAAAACCATTACATCTGAGAAGTATGCTCAGCAAACTGATGAGATGCATAGAAAACTGCAACACCTGCAGCTGGCCTTGGGCAATAGAATGGACCAAATTCTTCTTCATGACAATGCCCAACTGCATATCGCACAACCGTCACTTCAAAATTGATTGAATTGGGCTCCAAAGTTTTGCTTCATCTTCCATATTTACCTGACCTCTCGTCAATCGACTACCAATTCTTCAAACATCTTGACAGCTTTTTGCAGGGAAAATGCTTCCACAACCAGCAGGATACAGAAAATGCTTTCCAAGAGTTCGTCGAATCCTAAAGAATGGATTTTTATACTACAGCCGTAAACAAACTTATTTCTTGTTGGCAAAAAATGTGTAGATTGTAATGGTTCCTATTTTGATTAATAAAGATGTGTTTGACCCTAGTTATAATGAATTAAGATTAACAATATGAAAGCACAATTACTTTTGCACCAACGTAGGATATTTCTGTATCTACTCTATAGTGAAACAGGTCTCTCTTCCACTCCACACAGTTCCATTATGTAACAAAATTTTCCAATTGAATATGAAGGAAAAACAGTTTTCAGTCTACTTCTTTTTTTTTTTTTTTTGTATGGCCATTTTTATTTTTAAAGTCTTTATAATTAACTACTTCTGTTTTATGTTTTGGTTTTTTTGACTACAAGGCATGTGGCATCTTAGCTCCTCAACCAGGGATCGAACCTGCACCCCTTGCCTTGTAAGGTGAAATCTTAACCACTGGAGACAAGGAAAATCACTTTTCTTTCATCTTACGTTGTCAGGTCTAGTAAGAATCCTCTGGACCTCTGCCTAATTCACCCTGTTGCAATGGGTAGTGATGATTGAATTGTAACATTTAGGCAGTCAGCCTCAACATTTGAGCAAAAATGCATGAAAACAAAAAACTGCCTTTTGAGTGTCATAAGGATTTTAATGTCATAAGCTTCCTTTGTGGCTCAGCTGGTAAAGAATCTACCTGCAATGCAGGAGACCTGGGTTTGACCCCTGGGTTGGGAAGATCCCCTGGAGAAGGAAAAGGCTACCCACTCCAGGATTCTGGCCTGGAGAATCCCATGGACTGTATAGTCTATGGGATTGCAAAGAGTCAGACACGACTGAGCGACTCTCACTTATTAAGGATCTTAAAGGAGTAGTTATGTAAATTTAGAGATTTGAAATTTAAATTTCTAAAGATATAAAATGTACCTTTAGACTTTGGAAAAATCTTGAGAACTACATAAGGAGTTAAAACTTCATTTAAAGATACACTTTGAAAAAAAAATAAAGATACACTTTGAAACTTGAAGAGAATTACTCTCAGCATGTTTTGTAGTATGAGAAAACTGCTAATATAAATATAAAGAGTGATGATAACTGCAAGACCTGTGAGCCACAGCTCTGGGGTGGTACCCTGCTCTTCTGCTCTAGTACATCCTCTTACCATCTGTGTCAGCTTCCAACTTATGAAAGTGATTTTATTTAACTTGTTAGGTAGAATATGTATTTTTGTTGTTGTTCTAAAGATTAGATGGTAAATGTAATATTTTAGCTTTCTTGTAGAAAAACAGCCATCTCCTTGAAAACTAAATTAAGGTTGTTTTTAATTGTGGAAGTTCTGAACTAAACTGATTTTTCCTATACTAAATGAAATTGTCTTTCCACTTTTACTTTAGATGAAATGAAAGATCAGTAATAGCAGCTTTGCTTGATTTTTTAAAATTATCAGCTTATGTTTGTTTTGTTAATCTGGATCTACTGAGTAATATAGAAAAGGAGTTAATGATAAAGTAGAAGAAAAAAAAGATTGTTGTTGATTTTACTATGGATATTGAAAGACAGGGCTGTTTGAAAGGAAAATGTGTTATTAATCATAGGGGTTATTTCTGATCCAGGTATTAGCATAGGAGAGAGACTTTGTCAAGGGGGAAGAAGGTGAGACTTTAAGCATGGGCTTGGAGAAAGGTAAATCCTATCTAGTTAGTCATCAGTTGGGCTTCCCTGGTGGCTCAGATGGTAAAGCATCTGCCTGCAGTGTGGGAGACCCGGGTTCAATCCCTGGGTTGGAAAGATCCCCTGGAGAAGGAAATGGCAACCCACTCTAGTACTCTTGCCTGGAAAATTCCATGGACAGAGGGAGCCTGGGCTACAGTCCATGGGGTCGCAGAGTCAGACACGACTGAGCAACTTCACTTCACTTCACTTTGGGAATCTTCTAAGTAATGCTTTAGAAAATTGGTCCTGTGGCAGACTTAAGAACCATGTTACTTTGAGGCACCAGCTTCAGGTGACATAATAAAGAGCATGGTGCTCATTCTGGTACTGGTATGTCTCTCTTGTAAAAGTGTTTAGCATGTGCCCAACGTTGTCTTCAGACCTTGCTGTTACATTAGCCTATTAATGTACACAGCTCGACTATAAAAAAAAATGAGGTGTAGAGCTCCTTGCCCAGAGTATACACCCACCCCTACCACAGCCAGCATCTGCCAGCCTCTCCTCACAATTCCCACCCTGAACTCCTGCTACAAGCCTGGAGAAAGGTCTTTGACCCCGAGCATTTCCCTCTGCTTTCTTCTCTACAGAATTCTCACCTCTCTGAGACACTTCACAGAATAACAGGTATAGATGAGTAAATGTCAGGAAAGAAAAAATAAAAAGTTCATTGCTTCTTAAGTTTTATTCTCCCTGGGAGTAAAGATTCTGGTTTCATACTGTCAAAAAAAGAAAAAAAAAAAAAAACTCTACATATGGTTCTTTTTGTGTACATGAGAAAACACTAAATTTCGTACTATACTGACCAGATATACTGGTAAAAAAGAATTCTGTGGTTTTGACAGTGTTTATAGCATTACATTTAATAGTCATTTTAAGATGACAATTTAAAAAATACTGCATAAATACAAACCTTTTGGAATTGAGGTCAGCTTTGCTTCTGCAATTCTGATATGGAACACTGTTACCCCTTCAAATGCCCCTGGTTCAATCCCATTGTTATCCAGAGGGTTTGCACTCATTTCTGTGGGGGGAGGGGAATTATATAATTTAGCACACATATGTTGTATATGAAGGAAACTCAGAATACAGAGATGCATGTCCCTAGAAGTGCGAGCATTATTGTTCAGACTCTTCTTTGCTCAGTGTATCTGTTTCTGTCAGTCTCAGATGACAGAATTCTTTGTATTACATAGGCTGGACTGTATAAAAGCTTTACTGTTTTGCTTTGAATTACTAAATCAATAACTTACTTATTCTTTTCCAACCATGAGCATGATCAAGATTTTGTTACAGTAATATTACATTAGGAAGAAAGACCACCATTCATATAATTCAAAACCTTTGTGTCTTCCAGTGTACATTTATTTGTCACCTACCTAAACTTTTTAAATTGCAAGTCAATTAAAAATTATTTGTTAACAGAAATATAACTGAGGAAGTACCAGATAGTGAAGCTATTTGGTAAGTGTCTGGCACTTGGTTGAATTAAATGAGTAAATGAATGAGAATATTCGTTAGGAATTTTGAATAGATATTGTGGGGGAAGATGGCATGGTTATACCATGGGTGTTAGAAGTAAAATAGTGTGTAAAATTTAATGTATATAGTAAAAATGCCATAGCTCAATAATCTTAAAGAAATAAAAGTTAGCTGTACATTCTAAATAATATCTGAATTAATTTTGTAGGTTATATTTGAGTAGTTTTTAACATTAAAAATGATATCTTTAAATTAAATAAGAATAACAAATATTCACCAGTTAAGGTACAATCAGAAAATAGAAACCATATTAGGGAATTCTTGAGAGTACATGTGTATTTATGTATAAAATATTTCTTTAAGTGCTATAAATTTTGTTTGATACTTTAATTGATTTATGAATGGTTTATCTAGGTAAAGCTTATTAGATTCAAACAATTAATTTTAGAAATTATCAGTCCTAAGTTTTTTAATGATGATAAAGATCTCTATATCTACATATTGCATATAATTTTGAAATGTCCCATTTATTGGCAAAAACTTACCTAGAACATGTAAAGCATTCATTCCTTTGAATGTTTCCTTTTGTATTTTCTTAACTTTATTGTCATGAATTCTGAGTTCTGCTAATGATTTGGGAAGATTAAGTGGTATTTCACTTAGTTGATTGTGGGACAAATATAGCCTTCGCAACTTCTTTGTGGTTAGAAAGGCTTTTGGGTGAATCTTTGTTAGTTTATTGTTGTTCAGAATCAAAGCCTAGATAAAGCATAAAAAATTGTACCAAATCAGGAATTTAATTTACCAATATTTGATTACCAATATTCAGTAGTGATTGGAAATCATGGAAATCAATGCAAATTGTGTCATTCATATACTTTATTAACCATGTAAATAATTCTCCAGTCCAATCTAAGCTAATACGCACGCATGCATGCTCACGCGCGCACAGACACACACACACACACACACACACATTTGCCACTGAGTTGAAACAGTGCAAAGCTTTAACAATTGGTTTCATGCCTTTGGTTTATCTTGAGTAGGTGAGGTGTTCCCGTGTTTAAGTTTTCCCTCTCCTATTTCAATTCATGGAAGTAATGAATGGTATTATCTTTATCTTATCTTAAACCTGTTCACTCTACAAAGTTAAGTTCAGTAAACACCAAATACATTTTTGCATGATATTATCTACTCTTAAAACCTCATTTCTGTCTTGTTTACTAATGTTTACTGTTTTCTCCAGAATAGAGACTAGTAAGAATAAATTCCTACAATGTGCCCTCAGCATTCCGGCATACTATAGACACTGGGGAGGTGGTAGAAGGTTCTGAGGAATGACTCAACCCCTTCTCAGTTCTGTGGCTATTTCTTGGTGCAACGTGGCAACACTTTTCAGAAGAGACACAACCCCAGAAAGTGAAAGAACTTATACCAGCCTGAATCTGTGTTACCCACAGTCAAACCCTTTGTGACATGTTGAGGGTCTGAGTGCAGCCATCTAAGTCTCCTGGGGTGCAGAACTTCAGAACCAAAACTGGTAAAGTCCTTGGTACCAGGGCTTGCCTGTCGCCTAGTAACTATTTTGAAAATGTGCCAGATTTTGCAGAAAGAATTTTCAGTGTTTCCCAAGGGCAATGGCAAGTGGTTTAGCATTCCTAGAATCTACTGGAGCGCAGAACTTCAGAACCAAAACTGGGAAAGTCCTTGGTACCAGGGCTTGCCAGTCACCTAGTAACTATTTTCAAAACATGCCAGATTTTACAGAAAGAATTTTCAATGTTTCCCGAGAGCAATGGCAGGTGGGTTTAGCTTTCCTAGAACCTTTTATTCCTCTCTGCTAATCTGGATTCTCTCATTCTTCTAGGGAGCAGATCTAGATTCTTTCCTTTTGACTTCTGTCTCCAGTACCATTCTACAATAATCTTCCTTGTTTCCAGACTGATTTAATATGCTTTTATACTGTTATTTACATTGTTGTTGTTTCACAGAAGAAATACAAATACTTTGGCAGTTAAAGTCCCTTTATTATCATGTTTACTGGTTTCACTGTGGGCCTTTACTGTCTCCTTTTTCTTACCCTTCTTTCAGACATCACTAATTTTAATAATTTCAACTAAAAAAGGTTAAACTGAGAAGAATTTAAACTACATTTTGTTACCACCTGGTGAAATATACTCCTTTCTGTGTGCTGCCAAATTTAGAATGTGTTCTCTTTTCCTTTGGTTATACTGAAAAAATGAGAGGACAGGGAAGATTGAACAGCTTGGCAAACTGCCTCAACCCCCATGAGGTAAATTTAACGGAAATTATTTCTGTCCTGTTAGTGACGAGGAAATGAGCACAGTGAAGAAAAGTGATTTGCCCCCTGCCTGCCCCCACCCCTCTGCTCTCCATACTTTGCTCTTCCTCTTGTGTGCACTTCCTGTGGGCTGCCACTGTCAGGAGCCCCAAAGGGAATGTGGGCCTCAATTAGATCCAGCCATCACAATGGGATTTTGTTTGTTTTTTCCCTCTGGTTAAGACATTCAGTTGTCATGCTGCATAAAAGGAAGGATAGTAATACAAAATGGGGTAAGAATTTTTAACCCTCAAATGCTGCCCCAGCAAATTGAGTTAGCACAGTGTCTCCATTTAAGCAGTACTTTCAATGTTGGCTTTCACATGAAAATTCCAAACATAGCAGTCACAGAGCCCCAAAAAGTGGTTATATGTAAGGACAGAGGATGAGAAAAGTATAGTCTTTCAGCAGTAGGACAATAAGTCTTCATGATGAATGTGTCTGTATAAACAGGCTGGAAGTGAACTTGGAATATGTGCGTGTGTGTGTGTGTAGTGATCTCACTTATTCTCTAATGCTTCATTGTTCTCTGTGCAAGAATCAGAATGCCAAAGAAGCAGCTGAAGCATAATGTAGAGAATTTATAGGATATCTAAAAAAGTAATTTTAATTCTCTTTAAAGACCAATGCCATGTAGATGATGCTATAATTAAATAAGTGTTTTGATATACAATGTGCTAACAATTTAAGTATAAAGTGTGCTTTTAAAAGTACTTTACATTCATGCATTGACCAGTCTAGGAACACTAAGCTGGTAGCAGTAGTAGTTGACATTTGAACTCTGAGCACCTTATATACATTCACTCGTCTGAAAAACTATTCTGAATTCCATACTATTATCACACTTCTTTTACAACTGAGAGAAGTCAAACTTAGAGAAGTAAGTCACTTTCCCAATGTTTCTAATTCTGTTAGACCGAGATTTTGGCCTTGGACTGCTGAACTCCAGAACCCTCCAATACAATGCCATTTAAAAATTGACTAAAAGAAAGTTAAGGAGGCCTGAGACAGCTCCTGACACCTTTTCAATTCTTATTTCTCAATGAATAACTGGAGTACATGTAGGTTAAATCCCTGGAATACTCCTAAAATATAATAAAATAATGATGTGACAAATTAAAAACTTACTGATTCAGAATTAAATATGGCATTAATGATTGTGGTTTTATAGATAAATATAGGTTGAAGAAGTGGTAGAAGCATTCACTATATTTCCAACATCTGAGGGCAAAATAATGGCCTTGCTATTCTTTAAAAGTCTCTGTAGACTCGAGTTAGTCGGGTAGACTAGACAGATCCTATTATGCTATTTCTGACTGTCTGTTTAAGTGAGGCCTCAGTTATAAGATATATATGTGTTCTTCTATTTGCTCTTTTCTTTTTAACATGGAAACTTTATTATCCATGGAACCCTAGCAAATCTGCACCGCACATTTGAAAGGGAAAAGAACAGTCAGGGCCCCACAAGCCCAGCCACCAGGCAGTGCAAGGGAGAGTATGGCTTCACAAGGGGTTGACCTGAGCTCTCTCTGGGTGCCATCCTTGCCAGGCCTTACTAAGGGGATTTAGCAAGAGAGTTGAGTAAAACACCCCACGTGGTGTCTCAAACACAATTATCCAGCTGACATTTAAGCACTGGTTTCGTAATGGGATTTGGTAGTCTTCTTTCCCTGCCTGCTAGGGTGGTTCAACAGGGTTCATGTGGGTAGGGTGGCCTCAAGCCTCTCAGACATAGGAAGAGAACAGGGCTACATGGATGGCTACATAGCAAGAGACTGCTATGGTCATAATATCTGTCCCATCGCCTCTTAGTGCCTTGCAGGTAACAGGTTTACTTTCTTCTCTCCAGCGTAGCATGAGAATGTGGAAAAACATCCGAGAAGAGCAGCATTGCCTTACCACCACAGCCTGGTGCAAAAAAGAGGCTGTTCCACTCTAATATTACTCTGAGGGGAAGAGATGACACCCCATGTCTGTGACAGTGTGGAATCAGGTTCTTCCCCCAAACCGAATTTCAAATAGCATTCAAAATTTTACCTACTAAAATCTAGAGGCCCAAAATGTTAAATAGAGAAATAAGAATCTTTTAAATTTTAGAAAGCTAAAATATTAATCAGTATAGTAAGAAAAGTTCTTTTTCACCTTCAGAAGTCTAGAAAAAACCCATATAGATATATTTAATCAATTATGTGTGTTGCACATGCTGCTCTTAGAGCTTTATGGTTTCGTAAGTCAGTGGGTCTGCATACTGCTTTTCTTACATTGTACATTAATAAGTTGCTATAAATAATCATAGTTTCATTATTTTAGTGTGTAATGACTGTGATTACTGAAATAATCTCATCTAAGGACCATTTACTTGAATTCTTAGCCCACTGCCTTTCAATGGTCTATTATTCAGTAAATGTCAGTTGAATCAAATTAATAATTGAATTAAATCTAAAATTTTTCATTAACTAGAACAATGCAAAATAATAGGATTTTGTCATTCATCACACAGAGAAAATAAAGCCTTGTTTATACAAACACAAAAACAAGCAGTCATTTTAGCAGTGATAGAGATTTTCACTTAAATATTTGAAAATATGAACATGTATTCTTACATAAAGTGAAGTGAGTCCTTTAAAGTCATTTTCTTTGATTTCCTTAATTTTATTGTTTTGAAGGTCAACCAATCGAGTATCAAATGGAATATTGCTTGGGACGGAGGACAGACCTGGGAAATAAACACATTGCATACATATTATATGCTAAAGATAAGACTGCTGATATAAGTGTGCTTTTTAAGAAATTCGTGATTGCCATTAAATATTAGATGACTTAACGTGTAGCAGATGACAAAAACATTGGTCTTTGGAATGGCCTAATGATCTTATCAGGTAACTTTATTTTTACAAGGTGTCTTCCTAGGTCTAGCTATCAGTTCAGTCATAGTGACATTAAATGGAGCTAAGTTGAAGTGCTCTAACATGACTATAAGGAGGAGACCTACAGTGGAGGCACAGATTCTGCTCATGCACTTTTGACTAAAGAATATTGACATTCTTTGCAGATTTTCAGGCAGTTGTAGTGCTAAATTGGAGCCTGTGGGTTTTGATCATTTTAAGAAGCATCAATAGGTAGAAAGTTATGCTTAGAAAATAAATAAGTTTATTTTTATGTATACTACTAAAAACCTTACCACCCATTTATTTTAATAATGAGCTCCTCTAATTAGTTGTAAATTATTTGATTTACAAAAATTTATTCATCTGTTTGTGACTCCATGGACTGTAGCCTGCCAGGCTCCTCTGTCCATGGACTTCTCCAGGCAAGAGTGAAGTGGGTAGCCATTCCCTTCTCCAGGGGATCTTCCTGACAGAAATATCAAAACTGGGTCTCCTGCATTGCGAATGGATTCTCTACAATCTGAGCCACCAGGGAAGCCCTAATTAAATTATTTAAAGATGTAAATGTGTTTTTTCTTTTTTAAAGAAGCAGAAAATTAGTAGGAGCAGTATGTGGTACATTTCTTCCTTACTTTCCTTGCTTTCCTTAAATGGCTGAAAATGTGCACCCCTGATTGTTATTAGACATTCCATATGATGTTATGCTTGATGAGCATGGGGCCTTCTTGGTTTTCCTCTATATTTTATTATTAAAACAGTCAAATATACAGAAAAAGTTTAAAGAATTTTGCAGTGAAAACTAATATTCCTTTTTCTCCCATCAACATTTTACTGTACTAACTGTCCATCCATCCATCAATTTATCTTTCTTATGTATTTTAAAGTGAGTTTCCGATATTACTACACTTTTAGTGGAGCCATCCTTACTCCTGAAGAGTGTTGTTTTCATTTAGTCGCTAAGTCACGTCTGACTCCTTTGTAACCCCATGGTCTGTAGCCTGCAAGGCTCCTGATGAGTAATATTAATATTATATTTAATAGCCCAAAATTGAAGAATTCAATATTAAAAAATACTATGAATGTCAACATTCCACTTGACAGCCCTCGATACTTTCCCCTTTATACTTTAAAATTGACAATTCTTTGAAGAAGTTTGACATAGTTGGAAAGAGGGAAAAGGGGATAACTTGATGGGTTACCAAGGTAGCAGCAGTTTTGTTAGGAGATTACTTTGATTTTAGAAAATAAGTGGAAGGTCTTGTAGGAAGCTAGAGGTTCTGTAGACAGGACCTGTAACATAAATTTTGACAAACCTTCCCTTACCCTACCCCTGATGAATTTGGAAGCTTCATTTTCCGTGGTCATGGGGTAGGTGACGTTTATGCTGCTAACAGTGCCATGTCATTTTAAGGTATGTGCCTGTATATTCCATTAAGACTTTCACAGTGATTCTAGCTGATAATAATATCCTCTTTTTCTGGATGGTTTTTGTTCACCTTTCTCATTGTATCCCATAATAACACATTTTTAAAGTCTCTGGAATTCACTATAACAAGTTTTGAATATTGCCACAAATGCTGTGACCGTGGGAAATGAATCTAAAGCTTGCAAAGGCATTGTCTGCTCATACATACCCTCCAAGTGGTCTTGATGAGCTCCAGGTCCAGTATGGGAAATGTGAACTATACCTTTGGCTTCCTACAGTGGGTCAGGTCTGAGTCATTCCGTGTTTTGGAAATAGCTGACTACAGTTTCAGTGTGCATTCCTGTTACACCTCTCCCTGAGTATGCCCTTCTGTTTGACAGCACTCTTATTAGAAGTATTAAAATAATAAAATACTCAGCAGAGAATTATACATTTTTAAGAGACTTTAGAAAGTGACTTGCATTTCAGCCACTTCTTTTCTAGATAGTTTTAAACCCAAATCATTCAAAACACATAGAGTATTGTCTTAAAATGTCTAGATTAGAGATTTCACAAACTCTATAACCTATTCATTGTTTTGGACAGACAACTTACTTTGTTATTGTAGAATTTTGCTAGAAAGCACAGTTTAAACCAGTTGACACTCTATAAGATGAAACCTCAGTGACATCCATTCTCTGAAGGAAATTAAAGTACTGATTCAAATTTGGAAAGAGAAGGAAATGTTCTGTTTATGAAATTTCCAGTGCTTCCCTCAGATTTTCTGGATTTTTAAAATAAGTTTGGATGGACTTTGGGGTTTGTTAATACTTTTCAAAAATTTTAATGAAAAAATTCCTTTACCATTAGCTGATTTTTAAAATTTCAGTCTTTCCCTATCCTTTAAATTTTATCAGAACAACATCATTCTTCAAAACAAATTGATGTGTGTTCTTACCTAGATCAGAACAGTGTACAACTCTTGAATAGCATTGGCATCCAAATGGGCATGTTGAAAACAGATCAAATGGGAAGAAGGGGTTAACTGGCTCTCTTGTTGGAAAGAGAGAGTTGTCAGCATCACTGTCACCTTCGTCTTCCATGTCCTTCAGCATCATATTCTTCAGTGTCATGTATGATGGGTGAAATAATGGTTTGGCAGAGCACAAAGTCAAGAACACTAGAAGTACATACTCCTTCATGTCTTCCTGTGTAGAGGACCAATCTAGAAGTAAGTAGACATTGAGGATTAAGTTCAAGTTTAAATAGATATAGTTCCTGCTGCTATATATTTCTCAGGGCTGGCAAGAATACAATGAAATGGCATTCTTATTTGTTACTAATGTGAGAGTAAGTTTATTAAAAGTTTTTGGAAAGCAGTGCAATAACATGCATTGGATCCTTTATGAATATCTTTTCATCTAGTAATTCTACTTTTGGCATCTAGTCTCAAGAAACAATTCTAATGTGCATAAAGGTGTTCATCACAGAATTATATAATAAAAAAAGATAATTTAAGATTATACTAATGTTAAAGGGAAATAGTAAAATAAAATAGGGTGTATTTATTCCTTGAAATACTTCGGACCTCACAAAGTATTTGCAAATATATTTAAAAATAAGAAATGCTGTTTTTTGAAAGAAAATATAAAAAAATCTATATGTAGTATACTTACACACACACACAAATCCTGGCACAAGTATACCTAATTGATGATATTATCTGGTTTGTAGAGTCGTGTCTTTTTTTCTTCAGTTTCTATACTAAGCAATAAGAACTACATTTATACCTGGGAAACTAATGTTTTGGTTTTTAGAAAAAAAAAAACAAAAAACAGGTTATCATATTCCTTTATTCCTAAAATCTTTCCATTGCCTTAATGTCTATGTCACTTTTAAAGTAAAATCCATCATGTCCCATTAGTACATCTGGAAATTTTCTTTAACTTCTTTCCCACCAGACTCCCTAGCCTCATTCTCAGAGTTAGTTACTTTTTCCACAGTGTTACTGGATTTCTTCCTTCCAATCTGTTCCATTATCCAAAACATCTGATGTCCAGGCTATTCTTTCTCAACTCATCGTTCCACTGAGTTCCTTCTGTTTAGTTTTTAGGGGTTGGGGGTGCTATCATTAGCATTTTCTAAAGCCCACACAGAACTGGAATATACAAGTGAGACACTTGTGAGGATTTATTGTCATGTGATGGCAGATCTTCCCGCAGGTATGTTTATTCGTGGTTTCTTAACCATTAACTGTGAAACATACAGTTTTTTTGTTGTTAATCTTCAAAAAGTAAAACCATTATGATGTCATCTAAAACAGACTAGGCCTGTCTTCCCTTTGGGGCATTCAGTTGGCCGCACATAAATCTACCGGTGAGGCTGTAGCCTGGCAGGGGGTAGTCCATACGCAGCCGGGTCACCCAGCAGTGTGGCTGGGCTGCTCTGCCTGAGCATCAGACAGCACCTTAGCCATAGAGGACTGCTAGAGTCACTCAGAATTGACCCAACCTCAGGAAGACCTGGCTCCCTGAATCCTTGAGTTATGCCAGCTTCTTACGTTTTTCCAGAAGTCAGGTTTAATGTCTCTCCACCACCTTACTATTTCTGGACTTGAAAATCAGAAATTAATTAACTAATTTAATTAAAATATTCATATATATGTGTATATGTTTTAATCATCAGAGGAAGATTAAAAAAAAAACCCTACTGTCATCAGTGATTAACCTGATAATTAACATTATTTAACTCTTAGAAACCTATACGGCAATATGCACATTTTGCCCAGTGGATATCACCAGCCTTGTCAGATTTCCCTGTGATAACTCCCTCAGTTGTCCTAGGTAAGGGAGAATATAGGACACAGAACAGTAGAAACTTTTTTAGTTTTATAACCTTATTCTGAATCCCACTTCAGGAGCAGTTCTGCCCTCCCATCTCTGCACTGCCTTGTGGAATTGTCAATTCAGTTTATTCTAGATACATCTCTCAGATTAACTGGGAGGAATGGGAAGTACAAAGAGCTTCAGTGCCTTCCCCAGGACCACATGGCCAAACTGAACTAGAACTCGAGTTAGAGCTCATGTATTCTGACACATCCTTGCATCTTCTGCTACAACCCACACGGGAGCACTCTCTTTTATCTTCTTTTAGCGAGTGGTTTCTGTCATCTCTTCCTTTCCAGCCAGTCCACACATTGCTATTCAGTATACATCTCTGCATAAAGGAGTGCACTCACAGCTTTCAGAGGGTGGAAATGAGGGTGGCTGGGTAGTCAGATTTGTATAGTACAGAGAGAAATTGTTCTGGCAACTCAAGGCCCAGCAGCTTCTGTCAGCAGGTTACCATTCCAGTCACCCTGGAATCCTGGCACTGGCATCTGGTTATGGTCAACTGGGCTTCATTTCCAACATCATTTTTTGGGACTTTGTTTCTGCTTCTTGGCTGCCTGCCTCACTTTGCTCCATTATGTTTCTTGACCACAGGTTTCTCTGTGGTTCCTGGCTCCTTAATGCTTGGTGCCCTGCCTTGTGTTGATTTCTCAAATTCTCATTCTTGAGCTAATTTAGCTTTTGGTCCTTATCAAAACCAAAGCTTGTCCCTATTACCAATTTATTCTTTAAGATTGTTCTGCATTGCAGCTCTATCTTCTAGGTCCATAGCTGCCCCAGCCTTGTTTGACCTTGGTGGAGAAATTAGTGGTGGTGAAGAAATAGCTGTCATTTGATGTCCTGTCTCTAGCTTTCTTTGAGGTTGCTGAGTTTTTCATTGGGCATTTATCAGTACCCATTATGTACTAGGCATATATACAGAATCCATGAAGTAGAACATATTTGGATGCTTTCAATGGACATGTCTCTCCCTATGCACTTCTCCCATGCTTCCTTGCTCAAAAAGCAAAAACATACCTTCTAATCCCCTACTCTCAGGTAAGTGTGGAATTATTTTAAAAGTGAATGCTTAAATGGCAGGTGCACTAATAGAAAAAGTAAAAACTAAATGCTCAAGTTAGTAAATAGAACTAAACTGCAGGTGGTCAGTGCCAGCTGTGTACACTGTTACTCTGATGTTTTGGAAGAATCTCCAGATGTGTAGTTCACAGACTCTGAAAGTAAAATTCTTCACCATAAGTCTCTGTACTTCTCATACCCTTCAGTTTGCTATTTAAGACCAATAGAAGTAAAGACATCAATAAAATATACATACACAAAAAAATGGTTGAAATAGAATATACAAACCTAATAAAAGGGATAGTGGGATTATGAGTTAAAGGCTATTTTCTGTCTATGGTGCATATTTTGTAAATTATTATTTTGCTTTTTAAGTATTTTAAATAGCAGTCTGCAACAAAATTGTCTTTGCTCTGGTCCTCCATATACTTTTACCTTTTCTTATACCACTTCTATAGCATTAGACAGTACAGTTAAAGATTTCCCCTCAAAAGTCAGCCAACAATGCTTCAAAATAGTTTGGAGCTACAATTTTTGGTAGGGCTAGCACTATTTACTCTGGTCCATGGGAGGCAGAAGAATTTTAATAAGGTTATTTTTGAGTTGATTGGTTGTTTGAGTTTCATTGGTTTTTGTTTTTTGTGGGGTTTTTTGGTAGAAACTTAGAGATAAATAGGTTGTAGTTTCCCTGTCTAAACCAGAAAAATCTAATGTATAGTGTCCTAGAAATATAGACCTAAGAAAACCAGAAAACTTAAAAAAAAAAAAAAAATACATGTAACAAGAGGAATATGTTAGAGATCCAAAGTGGGAAGCCATACCATGTCTTGGCCTTTCCCTGTAACCTGGCAGCAGGCCAAGGACTTGCCTTCGTTCCTGCAAACCTGATTTCCCGCTGCACTCACGTTGCCCTGTGACATAGAAGAGCCCTGGAGCGGGATGCAGGCTGGGATGAGGGCGAGAAAAGCAGTTATGACAGACTTAGAGGTTCGCTGGTGTGAGGAGCAGAGCCGGAATGACGCACAGAAGGGTGGTGTACAGGTGAAGGAGAGGAAGGAGGCCTGGCATGACGTGGGGGTGGGGCTTGTTTCTCTTTGTCTCTCCCAGTGGGCTTTTGATTGGCCTGCTTGCGGAGTCAGAAGGAGCATCAATCAGTTTACTTTCCTTTCTTCTTCTTACACTGATGAGCTACATGAGATCCTCCCTGCCTTAGATGAGATGGCAACTCTGGCTTGCTAGATGAGGCAATGGCTCCTCTGTGGTAGTTGGGAAGCTTTCCTTTGGCTGGCTGGTGGGGGCAGCCACCTGCCATGCCTTCCTGGACCCTTCCCTTGTGAGTGAGAGAGGAGACATGCGGAAGCAGGAAATGTCATTTAGTTGAAACTCCCTCCCAGTGTTGAAGTTTCCTCCAGAACATTGTGGACCAGATGGCGTGTCCGCTGTCTAATTGCATGACTCCAGTGAGAGGACTCAGGGAGCACACCTCCTCAAGAGGCATCCAGTCCCACTGTTGTCCATCTGTGGTTGACAGGAAATTCTTTACAGAGACCAGAATATCTTCTGTCACAGTATTCTCTCTGTGCTCCTTCTGTCTCCTATTAGTCATATGAAATTAATCGGATCTTTTTGCATTCTCTTATCCTGGTTACTTGAAAAGAGAAGTCAGGAGAACCTTGATTCCATGAGGAATTTACCAGTTATTCCCTTCATTTGAAATGACAAAGCCTTGATAAAAAGAAGTGATTACAGACCCTAAACCTCTCCCTATTCTAGTTAAGCAGTTTTTATCAGTAGGAAAACACTGGAATGTCCAAGAAAGAACACTAAACAGTAGTGTTTTTCTGTTCAGTGTGTAGTGTAGAGAACATTGTTTCTCATTTAAATGATGTGCCTTTTAGTTGTTTATCTTATTTTGAGATGTTGAGCTTATTAATATGGATCAAGCTCTTATTTGTTTAGTTTTGGCATTTAGATTGTTATTTTTAAAATCTTTTAAAGTGTTTATGTCTTGTTCTCAAGAAAACTTAGTATTTCCCTGATTTAAACCAGTTTTGCCAGAGTTTCCTAGTCATCAAAAGCTTTGAATTTTGGTTTCAAGTTTCTCTGAGTAGTATTTGAAATATTATTTCAATGCTACTGCTGTTATTACTAAGCCATAACATATTAGAGCCAGGAGAGGCCTTTGAGACTTTGCTACCGTGCCCTCTTTTAAAGTGGAAGAACCTGAAGCTGGCCTCCTCATTCCTACATTATCCACCCTTCTGCTTAGCCTCCTCTAAATGGGTCTTACTCTCACAGTGACTTCCAGACAGTAACCAGACTCTCCTCAGAGAGAATGGGGCGAGAGGTTTGGCCAAGTTCTTAGGATTGGAATTGTAGCTAAGAAGTGTCTTTCTGAATTTACATAAGCTCCTATTTTCTGCTTAAATGTTCCACAAACTTAGAATGGAAAATCTGTGTAAGTGAAATGGTATTTCCTCTCAGACACTATTATTAGGAAAATAAGTCAATGTGCTTTTAAATCCTATCCTTAAAGGTCCGCCTGGCTGAAATGTTCCTATCAATTCACATGAACCAATAATAGTTTTCAGTATATAAATGTGATATACCTTTCTTTGTGTATTCACAAAAGGAATCCAGACTAAATTCAGCTGTCATCAAGGTACTTGTAAGTGAACAAGTTAAGTTAAACATCCAAACATGCTTTTGGAAACTTACTCACAGTACCTTTTGGTCATGGAAACAGATACTTTTAAAGCCTATGATTTCCTTAAAGAAATAATTAACTTTACCTCAAAAGTATAAATAGCAGCTGATTGAAGAACTTGCTGGCTGCTTTTCCCTTTATACATTTTGTCCTTCATCAGTTTTGCAATGCATCCAGCAATCTAGCTGCCTTTAAAAACAAAAAATTCCTACCTCTTCATTTTTCTAATTTTTCCTATGCTTCCTTAAAACTTGTACTTGTAAAGTTAATCTGTTCTGTCTCAAACCTCAGGTCAGATATCCGAATATTCTTTTTTTAATGTAGTAGTTGTAACAGAAGACTGCATATCCCATCTTCTTTCCACCAGTAACCTACTTTTCTAAATACTAAAAACATCAAAATGCTTTTATATGTGTGTGGGCTTTTTTTTTTTAAACAACTCAATTCTTAGTGAGATTTTTTAATTCTTTATTTTTAAAGACATATGGACTCCCTCAGATTTCTTTGTAACTTAATCCTATACCATGTGGCTATTGTTTATGGCTGCCACACCTCCAAATAGATTTAACAATAAAGAAAACTGTGATTATGAGGGAGTGGGATATCAAATACATTGTTTAATCTTTTAAGAATTTACTTTTGAGAGGGAATAAAGGATCTTTATTTTACATTCTGACTGGATTTTGTGAAGTCTCTAATCTTTCATATTGAATATAGAGCTTATTAAACTTTACTGATAAATAGTCTTTCTTAGAGTTATATGAATCTCCAGTTTAACTGTCCAGTGCCATTTCATCACATAAGAATAAGGAAGATATTTATCAAGGGAAAACATGAACATTCAAATGTATAAGTAAAAACATTTGAATAACTCATGTTTTTTAAATGCCTTAGAAAATAACATAGTTTCACATTTTGGAAAAAAATTTTTTTTACTATTTTCACTTAATGTATTTTTAATATCCCCAAGCTTTTTTATCATTAATGTTATTTTTTAAAAGAACATATTCATAAAATATTTGTTTAAATGACTTTAAAAATCATGTTAACTTTTATGGTAAAGCATAATGACAGGTTATCAGCTGTTTTAAGAAGTTATAGTTATGTTGAAAGTAAATCCATTATATATAAAACATAAAAGCTAGAGTAATAGTACATATGTATCTAAGTGCTGTTTTTTTAAGAAATTATACAGATAAACTTTAAACTATATTATATAATTTACAGGCATTTATGTTAATAACATTAAGGTCCTCTTAGTATTGACTAAGACAATTGTACACTAGTGCATGAAAAAAAGACATGAAAACATACCTTGTAAGAAGAGAGTAAATCCTCTTGAAAGTAGAATTTTCCACCATGTACTACAAATCTATAACGTAAATGTCCTCAGCTACTATTTAAGAAGAAAATATGAGAAGGTATTACATTTAAAAGAAAAACACCCTTCTACAGAGCCTGGTGTGGCTGCACCCTGGGTGACACTGGAATAAGCTGCTTCCACAGATTAGCCCATGTTAGTACTGAGAAGCGAGATTAAAACTTGTTACTGCTCATGTGTTTTCCATCACTGTTTGTATCATAGCCAAGACTTCTAGCTAAACTCTAGACGTCTACTGGAAGATTCTGAAGAAAAAAAAAGAGTCTAATAATTCATGGCAACTGGCCATTGAAAGTACAGTCAAAGTCATTCAAGAAATACCTGATTTGAAAAAAATACATTATGAAATTCTTAAATGAATGAATACTTATACATTACAGATTTAACTCACTCTATAGACTAACAAAATATTTATCAATTTTAGAAAGGGGTACTGAAAGAGTACATTATTGAAATATAAACCCAATCTCCAGATGTACCTAAGAAAGGAGCCATGCTGTTAATTTTCTTCTGGTGATTGAAACTATTGCAAGCATATGTCTCAAAATTTTCTTTAAAAGCTTTTACTCCTGCCATAGGCATGTCAGTGGAACTGTAAACCAGGCCCTATATAATCCTTCTAGCTTTTATACTGTGATACAAACATAGACTCAAGGATACAGGTGATGCCTCCTTGGACTTTCGCTTTTCAAGAGAATATCACCTATGACCACAAAGCATTTAGGGAGGATGTGGAAGCAGGAAAGCGACATTCTCTGTCACCCTGAAAGAATGCCCAATTCACATCAATTAAGAGACCATCCTTCAAGAGGACTTTTTTCTAAGTCTGGTAATAGGTAACACCAAACCAGCATCTTCATGATGTGCAGATTTGGGGGCCAGCCTGTTTGCAAAGCATGTTTCTAGTAGTTAGCAGAATTTCTTCTCTCCTCCCACAAAGAAAATCTGACTGTTGTTTGTTCCCAATTCCCAGAGAAATGGCACATGTTGAAGCAAGCCATAGCAAGAGTGCTGTGCCTCCGTTGTACAGGGCAGCCAGCCATCAGTTAAATAAAATATCCTTCTGTGGCCCTCACATCAGAGAGTTCCATATGCTGGACCTCCCTCTGCAGAATTTTAGGCCTGTCCTCGGTGCAGCACCTGAGCTTTGGCAAGCCTCCTGTTTGGTTATAATGCTCAAGTCCATATTTATTCAGTTATATTTAGTTCAAAACATTTGTCTGTTACCTTGATGAATTGGGACATTGTAAAGGTTGAACTGGATTTTATTGATCTGAGTTCCGTCAAAGCAGCGACCGTAAATGGGAAGCTCCTTGGGCAGAAATCTGTGTCCTTCACAATGTTTTGTTTTTTTTAACTTTAACTGTAAGTAAAGTTTACATTCCAAAAAAACAAACATCATAATGGTAGAGCTCAATTAATTTTCACAAACACCTAGTCAAGAAATCCCAGCACTCCCAGACCCCTCTTCCGAATCACTCTCTCTTCAGAGGAGGCCGCTGCCTGACTTCCAACACTGTAGGTTCCTGAACTTTCCATGTATATGTCATACATTGCATTCTCTTTTGAGCCTGGATTCCTTCATCCAGTGTTATGTTTTAGAGGTCCATCAAGGTCACTGTGGTTAGCAATAGTTTGTTTATTCTCATTATAAGCATACCTTCTTGTGCTTCACTTCATTACATTTCATAGATCTAGTGTTTTGTTTGTGTTTTTTCATGAACTGAAGGTTTGAGGCAACCCCGTGTCAAGCGAAACTATTGGCCAATAGTTTCTAGTAGCATTTGCTCACTTCATGTCTCTGTCACATTTTGGTAATTTTTGCAATATTGCATACTTTTCCAAAGACATAATGAAGCTTTGTGCAGTGGCAGTATCGTAGCCGATGAGGTTTATCCGAGGTGCAATTATTGCCAATTAAAGACATAATGGTATAGCATGGTAACACGTGGCTGGGGCTGGGTGGCAGCTCCTCATCGCAGTGGAACATGTGCTTCCCACCCTCTGCCTTTGCCTCCGTGCACACAGTGCCCCTCTCCCGAGTTACTCTTCCACCCCTTCCTCACCTCGCCTCTCCTCTGTCATGGCGTCTGCCCCACCACCACGCTTCTAAGCTGGGTTCTGCCACCTTATCTAGAGAACTGGGAGGCACGTCATGTGAGACTGTTTTTCTAAATATATATTGCAGCCTCTCTCCTCTCCCCACTTGTGAGCCCTGAGCTTTGTCTTCCTCCAACATGATATTGTGATCTTTAGTCAGAGGCTTAGGCAAAGAAATAGGCCTTGGAGTATAATGCCAAAATGTGAGTGGTCTTTTTGGCTTCTTCTCCCTATTCTGCTGACATTGTGACTGGAGGTACAGCCCAGGGCCCACAACCCCTCACCACAGTCTTGGAGCTGCCAGTGGGAAGATTTACCTCACAACTGCATAGACAGCCCAGCATGCACAGACACACCGTTTGGATATAAACTGGAGTTTTTTCTCCACACCATTGCACATTGTCATTCTAGACATATCAGTGTACTTCCTCTTCCCTAAAGTATTGTGAGGAGAAAATCTTCCATTCTTGGTTCCTATGAGGGTCCTCTGAAGGGCACCTATTTCTTTTCTTTTTTTTTTTTTTGTGGATCGTGGGCCTGCGTGGAGCCTCTTGGGGTCCCCAGAGGGCCAAGGGCGTGCACACCATGGCCAAGGGGCCAGGCTCGCAGCAGCTTGCTGTCATCTGTCCCCAGAGGACAGAGTATACAGGCGTGAAATGACCCTAAAACCAGACTAGGTCTTCCTACGGTCCCCACTCTTGGTTCTTAGGTACCAAATAGCATCTCTGGGACTTACAAGGGAAGTAGGGCCAGTCCAGCAAAGATGGAATTTGGACAAAGATGGTATCAGGACTGTTCCTTTCCTTCCTGGCAGTTTTCTTTTCTACATGTCTGTTTTTTATTGTTTGGGTTTTGCCTTATCCAAATTTGTCTTGGTCTAAATATTGGAGAATTAGTGTTATTATAAATAGTCTTTAGGAATCGTGAATAATCTGCACATTATTATCTTTTAAACAAGATAAGGTTCAAAATTAGGAAAGCATTATTGGCTTTACTTACATTTTATGAAAAGACGCATTGGCTGCATGTATGTATATGTGTATATTCAGTTGCTTCAGTCATGTCCAACTCTTTGCGACCCTTTGGACTGTAGCACACCAGGCTCCTCTGTCCATGGGATTCACCAGGCAAGAATACCGAAGTGGGTAGCCATAGCTTTCTCAATATTGGGGTACTGGAAATGACCTTAGAAATCATTTTATGCAAATTAAGACTCCAAAGGGTGAGGAGCAGGGCTGATTGTGGCCACATAATTAATGAGTTGTATGATGTTTGTCAGCTCATATCTTGTGTCTAGGCCTCTGTTTACATTAGTTCAGTCAGTTCAGTTCAGTCACTCAGTCGTGTCCGACTCTTTGCGACCCCATGAACCACAGCACTCCAGGCCTCCCTGTCCATCACCAACTCCCGGAGTTTATCCAAACTCATGTCCATTGAGTCAGTGATGCCATCCAACCATCTCATCCTCTGTCATCCCCTTCTCCTCCTGCCTTCAATCTTACCCAGCATCAGGGTCTTTTCAAATGAGTCAGCTCTTTGCATCAGGCGGCCAAAGTACTGGAGTTTCAGCTTCAACATCAGTCCTTCCAATGAAAATATTCAGGACTGATTTCCTTTAGGATGGACTGGTTGGATCTCCTTGCAGTCCAAGGGGCTCTCAGAGACTTCTCCAACACCACACTTCAAAAGCATCAATTCTTCTGCTCTCAGCTTTCTTTGTAGTCCAACTCTCACATCCATACATGACTACTGTATGTATGTATGTACATACTATACATGTACATACTATACATACATACTTATGTATGTACATAAGGCTATGTAAAAACCATAGCCTTAACTAGACAGCCTTTACATTAAGTACATTTTAATGGATTGTGTAACAGTCTCTTATAGTAGTAATCACAAGGAAGATTTTGGCCATCCATTTATTCAAAGAATGGTGTGAAACGCAGTGAAAAAAAGCAAAATGGGGTGGAAGATTGTCAGGGAACCCTGAGGAATGTGAGAGGATACCTTGTAAACACCTACTTTAAGAATGTTCTAGACCATCAAATACTAGGATGTAAATAATGTATATTATTTATGTGTAACAAAGTTTGTATATAGCTCAATTCAGTTTAGTCGCTCAGTCGTGCCCAACTCTTTTCAACCCCATGGACTGCAGCACTCCAGACTGCCCCGTCCATCACCAACTCCTGGAGCTTGCTCAAACTCATGTCCATCGTGTTGGTGATGCCATCCAACCATCTCATCTTCTTTCGTCCCCTTCTCCTCCTGCCTTCAATCTTTCCCAGCATCAGGGTCTTCTCCAGTGAGTCAGTTCTTTGCATCAGGTGGCCAAAGTATTGGAGTTTCAGCTTCAACATCAGTCCTTCCAATGAAAATATTCAGGACTGATTTCCTTTAGGATGGACTGGTTGGATCTCCTTTCAGTCCAGGGGACTCTCAAGAGTCTTCTCCAACACCACAGTTCAAAAGCATCAATTCTTCGGCGCTCAACCTTCTTTATGGTCCAGCTCTCACATCCATACATGACTACTGGAAAAATTATAGCTTTGACTATATGGACCTGTGTTGGCAAAGTAATGTCTCTGCTTTTTAATATGCTGAATAGATTGGTCATAGCTTTTCTTCCAAGGAGCAAACATCTTTTAACTTCATGGCTGCAGTCACCATCTGCAGTCATTTGGGAGCCCAGAAAAATAGTCTCTCACTGTTTCCATTGTTACCCCATCTATTTGCCATGAAGTGATTGGACTGGATGCCATGATCTTAGTTTTCTGAATGTTGAGTTTTAAGTCAACTTTTTCACTCTCCTCTTTCACTTTCATCAAGAGGCTCTTTAGTTCTTCTTCACTTTCTGGCATAAGCGTGGTGTATCTGAGGTTATTGATATTTCTCCTGGCAGTCTTGGTTCTAGCTTGTGCTTCATCCAGCCTGGCATTTCTCATGATGTACTCTGCATATAAGTTAAATAAGCAGGGTGACAGTATACAGCCTTGACATAACCCTTTCCCAATTTGGAACCAGTGTGTTGTTCCATGTCCTGTTCTAACTGTTGGTTCTTGACCTGCATACAGATTTCTCAGGAGGCAGATAAGGTGATCTGGTATTCCC